TCGGCAAATTTGGACGGAATTCACAATAGGCTGCGCCTAATAGAAACGTTGGCTGGTGGTTGTCTTGGGCTACTTGTTATACGAATTGTTAAAGTAGCTCTTATCAACACGAAGTTGACCTGACCACTTTGCCCATGAATAATCTGAGGAGAGCCACGGTTTATAGTTTAATGCTGTTCCATACCTGCTGTGGTATGCACGGCAGTACCCAACAAGTGAATTCTTGATAAGGAACTTCGTTTGTTTATAAAGACAAGTTACGTACGACGCAGTTGTCCTTTGCTGTTAGATGCTCGAAGATACCTCGACGTTCCGCGAAGTAATATTCTGGCTTTTCCACGTTCTTTCCACTCATCAGAGGATGCCGCCATCGCAGCTCTGCATGACTGGACCAAGAATCATGGTTTTAATGTGACCAAGAGGCGTGCCTTTACTTCAGCGATGGCAGGGGATGCAATTTGGAAACGTGGTTTCGATTGTGATCGAGGTGGCAAGCCAAAGTGTACGCAGCATCTTAAAGATGAAGACCGGAAGCGCCCCATGCGAGGTTCCATGCGTATTGGTTGTCCGATGAAGATAATACTCCAAGTCGTGGACAAGTCTGATCCTACTGGGGAATGGAAGATTGTACACACGAGAAACGGAAGTCGTCTTCACAACCATCCACCGTCAGAAGACGCCAGAGTTCATCCAGGTCATCGTCAACGGGCAGCAGCTTCTACTAGTGCGCTACCGACAGCTTCGCTACAAGATATCATCGGTTCTCAAACTGCTGTTGGGTCTACAACTGCAAGGGTGCATGCCAGCTTGATTGACGCAGACCCTGATTCTTTTGTTATTCCACAAGATATCGCAAACATGAGAAGCAATTCTCGTCGCCATGAACTCGCCACCAAGACCGTTATGGAAGCTGTGTTTAATCGGCTGGAGTCTGATGGATTTTACTATCGATATGAGTTGGATTTGGAAACACAAAGGGTCCTTTATTTGTTCTGGGCTCATCCGGGTACGCTGGAACAGTACCGACTTCACTGTGATGTCGCTGGAATGGATTGTACATACAAAACCAACAAATACAAGCTTCCTTTGTTGAACATCATCACTATGACTGGATTTAACACGGTGCTACCTGTTGCACAATGCTGGCTACCGCGAGGAAGAGAGAAGACTATACCTGGGCTATGAACACGCTGTTTTCTTTCCTGTCGGAAAAAGGTGTCGGTTATCCAAGTGTGTTTATAACAGACAGAGAATTGGCAGCGATGAACGCTGTCAGTACTGTGTTCCCTGGCGTACCTGCAATGATATGTAGGTGGCATATGAACAAGAACGTCATCAGCAAAACCCGCCAGGTTTTGGGGCAAGTAGCTGTTCAAAACCCAGCTCCAGGACAATCTAAGTACGAGAACACTTGGCAAACGGATGCGTTCATGTCATTATTTTACAGAGCTGTTGAATCATCGACAGAGGCATTCATGAACTCATGGCGATCACCGAGTCTAATGGAGAACGAATTCTACGACCTAGTGATTTCGATTTGCACTGGTGGATTGATTAATCGTGAGCAAGCTACTACCTTTCAACATCGAATTCAAGAGCCAGCGTTCAACGAAGAAGAATCAATGAGTAGGCGTCTACGACGTCGGTCTAGGAGAATCTGCACTCTTCCTTACAACACACGAAGAGATCCAGTATTTTTCGAGAGGGTAGACCTTAACAACCCTGCCACACCCCCAGCATCAAGTCTTGATCGGTATCAAAACGCAGGGACAACAGTGTCTGTTCTTAATCCTGTATCAACTCTACCTGCGGCGGATGTACAGGACCCCTCGGTTTTCCATACGAGTAATGTGCCTCCGCGATTCTGGGGATATGCAAGATGGAGTTAAATAGTAAAGCGTTTGTTAGTTTAACTTTGTAAATTACTATCATTTGAATTCAACAAAGCGCCCATTCTTCATTGAAAATTATCATGGAATGCTTCTTAATCTGCCTTACGCTTCTTGTTGCATCCCCGAAAAGTGTGCGATCTCAGCGATCCACTTTTAGTGAACGTCTTCAAACAAA